ATAGATATATCGATTCAGGTTTTGAAGTATCTCCCAGATATCGGTACTGTAAATGGGAAATTAAAATGAAACCTTAAGTTTATTATTTTGGGGTTTCTGCGAAGTTTTTATTATACGTCTCAAAGGATCACTGTTTGAGAAGTGTACTGATTAGATTTCAAATCGCGTTTGATTTGATTGAAATTAAATTAATAGGTCCATATTTTACCCAGAAACATTTACCCGGATAGATGTGGCTATCGGTATACTACAAGGTCTGGGACCAATATTTCGTGTATTTTAAACATTTTGGGTCAAAGTAGTGTTTAAATATATATTAGTGTTAAATATAGATTTTCCGAAGGTGTACATTTCTGTAAACTTTCCTACTGATTGATTTGACTTCATTTAAAACCAGTGATTTCATCACCACTGAACACCTCCTTAACCACGGAAAATGAAATGACAAGGATTCCGAAAGTTCACCAACCATTGCCTTTGAAAACTTCCAATAATTTCTGATGTTATCAAAAATGATTGGACAGTAGGACAGTCGAAGCGGTACGAATAAAAATTGAGGATATGGCAAAATCCCTACATTTAACGATACTATGGTGACTGACCTCACGAGGTGTCATACAAAACCCCTTGTAAAATAAGACGGAATTTTTATTGTGGTGCTGAAACAGTTGATTGAACCAAGAATTGAGTATGAAATTCTACATGAGAATCAGGATGGCTCTGCCTGATATAAGGATAGGTCCAAGAATATAAAATATAAGCTCTAGATCGAGTAGATCTGGATTGCATTCAGAATGCTTGTCTGTTTTGAGAAGCGTCAGCCAACTAGGCAACTTTTGGATTCAGGACCGTTGAAAAACTCCTTTTTTTAGTTTAACTACACTGTAGAGCCGTATTTATTAATTCAAAAAAAAAAAAAAATATTTTTTTAAAAGTTTTATGTCAGTTACGTCCTTTTGACTTGCTATTTTCTGAAACAAAAGGACATAATTACAACACGATTAAAACTAAAATTTGTACGTAATAAATTGCGTCTAGAGTCTTGAGTTTTGTAGAAATCGGTTCATATTTAGACATAGCTCTCACATATATTTTCGATTTTATATAAACTATGCATTAAAGCCCCTATATTTCTTTGGATTTGCACAAAATTGTGTATAGCGTACTGAAATGAGTCTAGAATGAGGCGTACTAAGTTTCGGTTCAGATTTAGATATAGCTCCCATACACATTTCGACTGATTTTTTGTAAATGCTGCACTAAAGACATACAAATATTTCTCCGATAGCGATAGAACTTTGAACAACGTGGTTTATGGAGTATGGAACGCCGAGTATTGAGAAATACCTAATTATAAGTGATTAGTTAAAAAAATTAAGAAAATCGTCAAAATACAGAATCTTGGGGTACCGCTATATGGGTGCTACCGAAAAAATTGGCCGATACAACTCATTTTCAGTACCAAACATCCCAGAAATAACATTAACCCTTTGTTCCCCGATTTGTTCCGCAATCTTAGAACAAATTTCTGTTCACATATTCAATGCAACTATCCTAAATAGGATATGCACAAAATTTGACATCGATACATCCTTGCATTCGGGAGATATAGTATATTCTTTTGGAAAAATTAAAGTTCTTTAATGCACTATAACTGAATACTGATGTATACACAACATATGTATTTTTTTCAATAAAACCAGTAAGGAAAGTAGTAAACAGACTAGGCCGACTATATGATACCCTTAACCACTTTGGGTATACTCTACATGTGTATCCTAACAGACGTCACGTTTTTGTTATATATCTATATCTGAACCGATTTGAGGGAGATAGAACCAGAGACTAATTTATATTACTTCAGTACGTTGTGTCAATCGACCTAGCTATGGATCTTTTCACGAAGCTTAGCAACATCATCCTAGACTCAATCCAGTACGCTATACCAAAATTCGTGTAAAAAATATATATATATATATATATATACAAATTACATAAAATCGGACGAAAATATATATGGGAGCTATATCTAAATCTGAACCGATTTTCACGAAACTTAGCACACATCATTCTAGACTTAATTCAGTGCGCTTTGCCAAAATTCGTGCAAATGAAAAGATTTCCAGGGACTTTGGTGCACCATTTACCTAAAATCGGGCGAAACTATATATGGGAGGTATATCTAAATCTGAACCGATTTTCATGAAACTTATCACACATTATTATAGACCTAATTCAATAGGCTATGTAAAATTTCGTGCAAATCGAAAGATACATAGGGTCTTTGGTATACCATTTACTTTGAATCGGACGAAGTTATATATGGGAGCTATATCTAAATCTTAACCGATTTTCACGTCCGAAACTGACAGACGGACGGACGGACATGCATAAATCGACTCAGAAAGTGATTTTATGCATATTCTCAAAAGGAACCATGGGTCTATCTCGATTATTTTGGCCTGTTACAAACATATGCACAAAGACATAATACCCTGTACCACAGTGTGGTAAAGGGTATAAACAGGGTGGACTATATGAAAATTTGTTCAATGCAGTGTTAGATTTGCATGCACAGAAAATGTGGCCTTTAAGGGAACCCCACCCATTCTCGATTTTAATTTTTCAAGAATTGCAATGGGCTGGTAAATCAATACCAATGCTTGTTAAGGTTTGTAACTTTGCACATATATATTTGAAGATTTAAAAAAGAAGAAAAATAATTTACAAAAAATTTTTGTTATTGTTTTGTTGTTGTTTTTTGTAATTAAAGAAAAGTCCTTATTTTTATGGCGGGCATGATAACTCCTCACTGGATGATCGGAATCCGAAAATTCCAACGGTGTTAGAAAGAGTACATGTCTGGCTCTCGTATGAACTAGGATTATTGACTTCGCTCAAAAATTAACAAAATGGTGGACCTTTGAAAAAATATTTTTGGAAAATCGCCGATTTTTTACCAAAAACCAAGTTAAAAAATAAGGAAGATCTTCACCGATTGGCTTTATCCTAGTTCATACTAGAGCTATACACTCCCAGATTTGGAACCGATTGGATTATTAGTTTTTGAGTTATCGTGCCCGCCATTCGCAAAAAAAAATGTTTAGAGAAAAACGCGTTTAAATTTTGAGAAGCGCTTTAGCCGTCACTTGATGCTGACACAATAAATCGGATATATCTTCAAGAGTTCTTGAGATTTTCGCTTGAAATTTTGTAGAGACATTCTTTAATCAGTGTAGATTCGAATTATATCAACAAAAAATTTTACCCCGAGAATGGGGTGTCCCCTTAAACGAAAATTGAGTATAAGCGAAGTGGACTTAAGAACAAATAATTTGTATGAATTTGAGAAAAAAAATATTAGTAAATAGTACTGTTTCCGAAAAGTACTGCATTCATTTTTACAAGAATCAAAAATAATTCTGATGGCAGAATTCGTACTATTCAAATACGAAGCAATTTAAATAATTTGAACTGTATACATAAATTAGTACTGTACACAAATTTACCCTCTTCTCTTTATTGAAAACTCATAACTTTTGTCGATTTTTCTTTTGATATGTGTCGTCTATAATCAGGTCTTGATGTATGAGTTCCAAACAATATATATCTACTAGATGTGTATTAAATATAAGCACTGAAACATTTTGTTGCCTGTGGGCAACATTGGGCCACAAAGGGTTAATAAAACTTCAGAATTTATTTTTTCAATATTGCGTGCTTTAGTTATTTGCAGGAGTGTAGTTGCGTCTGTTTGCATTAATAAAAATAATATTGTAGTTACGTCCTTTTGAATTTCTTTAATTAGGTCGCTATTTTTGACGTTAGATGCCTAAATACTCAAACAATAATCAAACAAAAAGTAAATTTTGAATTTTTCTGTAGTTACGTCAGTTTGCATTTATTATGACCATGTGTGGTTTTGACATGTAATGCTGTACATTTTCCGAAATCTATGTTTATGTTGGGTTACTGTAAAACGGCTTATAATTGACGAGTAGAAGGATAGATTTAATTTTACATATTTCAGAAGCTTAAAATGTTCTTCACAATGAATGGCCTGAAAACTTATTCGAAAATCAAATAAACCACATATTTCTCCAATTTCTTAAAATATTAAATTCTAAGCTTGTTTTATATAAATAATTTATTGTTCATATGTTTACTTTTACACATATTAAATGCATATACATATAAATATGTATACATGTGTGTGTGCGGTTTACAAACTACAAAAGCAAACACACATGATCCCTAACAAAAACATTTGTCGAACGGCCATAATGTGAGGAAGGAAATAATCAGGAAAAAGGTTATGAGGTCATCAAGGATTTCGATTTATGTTCCCAGTTGTTTATGTTTCCTATTATTGGCACGGTAGAATGAGAGTTGTGGGGTGGGGGAAGGCATATATTCCCACATACATTGCCATTTTCTGATGGATATTTGATAAATATGCCGATATGTTTTTTTTTTTTTTTTTGTTTCTTTTCAATATTTCGCCTAAGGCATATCCAGTTGTTTTCGCATTATTTCTTTTATCCTTCTTGAGGTTGTTGTGGTTTGTTTCATTCAGTTGTGCTGTTTTTTTATAGGAATATCGGCAACATCAGAGTAAGAAACAACAACAAAGAATTGAATATTTATTAAGAGGAAATTTATGACAAGGATCTGCTTATTTGAATAATGAAATCAAAGGAGAAGGAACAAAAAAAAAACGAACAACAAGAAAACAAATATCCAAATCCGTAGATACCATTCGATATGCATGGCCACATATGTGTCCCCATAAATAATTTCTTTTGAAGAAAATCCAGCAACAGCAGTAGCATTAAGTATTATAACCCACTTCCGCCATCGTTTTTTTATTTTTCTTTATTTGCTTTCAATTTCCTTTACCTTTTTTCCCGATGCTGAATGTTTTATATGCAACTTATTTATATCGTTATCCTTTTGCTCTTACTCATATCCTTCTTTTCATCTTCTTCTATTTCTTATAGACACCCGAGAATTGTAAAACGGACAAAGACTGCACAGCCATGATGGTTTCATGGGAGGGTGAAGCTGAAATCCAATCGGGAGATATATTAATTGTTGAAATAAACGATGCCCTCTTAAATCCAAAGGAGATAAATCTAACAACCAGGTAAGTTGGACTAGTCAAGGACATTCGATTGTCCCCATTGGAGTGTTATTTGAGTACAGTAAAGGAGAGCGAAAAGACTTTGCTCATTTGGTCCCAACTATTTGTCTTCTCTGCTGGTTTTTGTTTTGAAAAATAATGAATGAAAAATTTTAAAGAAATGGCATTTCATTGCAATTTCTTTCGTTTATATCCTTGAAAGATTTTCTTACTCTTCGTTTTATCGTAAGTTTGTTAAGGCCATTGTGAAATCTAAATAGTTTTTATACCTAACTTATCGCATTACTTGCTTCATTAAATAATAAAAGATAGTGGAAGATATTCTTGGAAATTTAATGACTCCAGCTGAGTTGTGAAGAAATTCTAAGAAAATTGAAAACTAGAAAAAAATCGTTGCCTTGGAATTAATTATTGCCACAAATGTGGGTTAAATGAGAGGGCTAACAGAGATAAGTGAAAAGGAAAAAACATAAAAGTCCTTGATAGAGAGTCTTAAGAATAATGTAATGCCATACTTCTAACATTGATAGTATCCTTTTGAAATTTACTCTCTTAACATTCTTATGAATATTCTTTAAATAATTAATCCATCCAACTCTGATAGATCTTTAATGATAATGGTTATAGATCTTTACTATTTTAAATCCGTTAGACCATAAGAATGTTGTTAAAAAATCACTCTTCCAACTCTGATAGGACCTAAAATTATTCTTTAAATAATCCAATATTCTAACTCTGATATATACATAATAATATTTTTAAAGACAATTCTCAATTCTAAAAAATTGGACTAAAACCTTAAAAACTCTAAAATGGTTACATTTTCAAATGAAGACTGTTTTAAAACAAGGATCTGTATCAATAAATTTTACCATAGATGTTTTACCATCCAACAATTTAATGATGGTGGGTTTGATAGCCTGGCAGGACTCAGCTTGATTGTCCAAAATACTTCGTATTGTGATATTTAATTATGAGTGTGAGTCAAAATAGGTACATAATCTTCATAACGATGAACTGATGAGCCAAGGAGTTTATACATTGGTGAACTTAAGGACTGTAAGAATATGACATTGAAGCTTCGAGGGTTTTGAGGGATGCTCTATATGAATCAGATCATTTATATAAATTGATGTGGTTTCTTCCATTTATATTTAATTATTTTGTTACTAGCATATGCCCGCTACTTTGTTAGCAGACGTGAGAATTATTTAAACATGTCTGAAGCTAATCAACATACATTCAAATATTGGGCATAATTAAAATATTAGTACCATTTAGTTCTTTTGTTATCATATAATACGTATTTCAAAAACTACTTCCATGTCTCAACACAGCAATTCTCATCGCAACACAAATAATAAATTTTTTGGTACCATGTACTATCTTTCGTACTCTTGTAGAACTTAATTCCAAAACTAGTTCCAAATTTCATGATTCAATGTCTACAGATTCACCCAAATCTTAATTTTACGAAATTTAGTATGATTTGGTACACATGAGTACTAATCTAATTGAAACCATATTTCCTAACTTTAGGATTCCAGCCCGATCGCTTCACCAAATTTTATATCATTATCCCCTTCACCACTCTGTGGTACAGGGTATTATGTCTTTGTACATATGTTTGTAACAGGCAAAAGGAAACGAGGTAGACACATGGTTCCTTTTGAGAATATGCATAGAATCACTTTTTAAGACGATCTATACATGTCCGCCCGTCCGTCCGTCTGTCCGCCTGTAATCAGAATTGGATGAAATTTGGCATAGCTCATTTGTTGGGCCTAGGACGAACCCTATTGAAATTGGGAAAAATCGGTTCAGATTTAGATATAACTCCCATATATATTTTTGTCCGATTTTATGTAAATGGTACACCAAAGTCCCTATATATCTTTCGATTTGCACGAAATTTGGCATAGCGTAATGAATTAGCTCTAAAATGATGTGTGTTAAGTTTTCTGAAAATGGGTCCAGATTTAGATATATCCAACTAATATATTTTCGTCCGATTTTATGTAAATGGTGTACCAAAGTCCCTATATATCTTTCGATTTGCACGAAATTTGGCACAGCGGACTAAAGTATGTCTAGAATGATGTGTGTTAAGGTTAGTGGAAATCGGTCTAGATTTAGATATAGCTCCCATATATATTTTAGTCCGATTCCATGTACATGGTGTACCAAAGTCCCTATGCATCATTCGATTTGCACAAAATTTTGCATAGTGTATTGACTTGAGTCTAGTTTGACGTGTGCCAAGTTTCGAGAAAATCGGGTCCGATTTAGATATAACTATACATATTTTCGTCCGATTTTATGTAAATGGTGCACCAAAGTCCCTAAATTTCTTTCGATTTGCACGAATATTGGTATAGTTTCCTGAGAATTCACTGAACTGAAATTAAATTAAATTAAAATTGAAATTAATATAAATTAATCTCTGGCAAGTTTGCTTGAAATTGGTTCAGATTTAGATATAACATAGCTACCGTATATAATTTCAATTTATTCGTGTTGATTGTACACCAAATATTCAATGGGTGCCTAATTGATATGATATGATAGCGCGTGTAAAGTTTGATTTAAATCTATTTACAAAATTTAGAATATGTTGCAGAATGGAATATGTTGGGATTGATGGTAGTCGCTCTACTTATAGATAAAGATCGCATATTTAAGTTCGTTCAATTTCATGTCGAAAATGCGACGTCTGTTAGGATACATATGTATATAGTCGGCTTAGAACTTTAGGTTATAATTGGGTAAAACATCTGTACACCAAAAACTATCAATATTGATCAGTTTTTTAGGGATGATATAACGCTATGTAGTTTAGTATTTTGAATTATCATTGGATGGCATATCCAAGAATTATAAATGGTGGCACCTTTTTATGATAGCCTCCATATAACAGTACAGTGGATTGATCATCATTGTGAATATTTGCATGTTCTGTATGGTGTTCAAGGATGACATTTATCGTTTCTGCTGATGATCGGTGGTTGTAGGATCAAATATACCAAAGCTGTTGTTTTTGTTTGATCAACGAATAACCATGCCTGTTACATGAAGGGTCGGTGTGAAAAAGTTGCATTCTATGGCGTACTCAAAACAAAAAGAAAAAAACACAAAGATGTTGTAAACAAATTAAACCAGTTATTCACTTTACATAGTTTTTAAATAAAAATTAAATTTAGTTATAGTGGTAGTTGTGTAGCAGTGTTGCCAATTTAGCACTTTTAGTGCTAGATTTAGCACTTTTTAAACTCGTTTAGCACGAAAAAAATTGATTTAGCACCTAGCACTTTTTTTAGCATTTTTAATTTGTTCCAAGATTTCTTCCAAATTTTTAGTATCACTCCAAAAAAAATTGTACTTTCTCGATTTCACATCGACACATTGAAGTTTCCGTATGTTTCACATGGTGGTTTTGATTTTCCAATGTTTTTTCTAGTCGCACGGGGCTATTCATATGATACATTACGTAACTAAAACAAGACTTAAAATTTCTGCGAAACTAATTTCCGTGTTGGTGAAAAATTTTGCGAAATATCCACCTCCTGGTTTTGTAATAATACTACATTATCAGAATATAACAAGTAAAAAACTGTGTTAACGGCCGAACTTTTTATAACTTTATAATAAATTACAGCCAGCTCGATTGAAAAATGTGTCCAAAATACCGAATATTGCCCTTATATGGGGGGCTAGACCAATACATAGACCGATATATAACATTTACAATAACAAACATCCAAGGAGGCAAGGCAATGTCTGACAGATCATTATCAAAGTAGCCATTTTTTCTTTGACTACATTTCCCGTATTTATTGGTGTTCGGGTTATAAAAGTGTGTTTAGAAAAAATCTTTTTTTGTATTATTTCATGTCGAACTTTAACAAAACCGGACTTTATGCAAAATTGTATAGCTATAATCTAGTGCGTTAATGGTAATACTAAATACTATTAGAATAGATATACTCCTGTAAATATTTACGTATAGCTCCCACACCCGGTCCCTGCCCTTCTTGCATATAATGCAAATTTTGTATTTTTTCAAACAAAAGTCTGTGTCAATTTGACAAGCTCAATATGCTTATTCATTAGTATTTTCCCCATGTACAATTCTGTGACCTCTAGAGACACCAGAAACAAATATAAAATGCTTTGTTGACTTCAACAGCCAAATATTGACCGTTTTTACCAAACACAATAGAGTAACTTCTGGTAATGTGGACCATGCATCAAATGTGGACCACCCCCCATATCTAAGAAAATACTTGAAATATGTCAATGCCGCCTTGATAAATGTTTTCCTAGTTAGTGAAAACAAACATCAAATTTGGTTTTTAATAAATAATTGCAATGTTGAAAATTTAGTAGGTGAAAATGTAGCTCTGATTTTAAAAGTGTGATTTGAAAATTTTTTAGCACAATAGTCGAACGATTTTGTAAAATAGTCGAACATTTTGTTTTTCTCGAATATAAAGAGGTTATGTGGTTTTCTTGTTTCCTTTAACAAAAATACACGTTTATCTGTAATTATTTTCGGTTATTTTTAAATTTTTATTCATTTTTGAAGCCGATAATTATTTTTAAATAAAAATATTCAATGTCGGGTAATGTGGACCACTATAAAAAAGTGGGACATTTTCATGAGGACGAGTTCGAAACAAGGGCGCATTTAATATGAGAGGAGGTATTCTATCCTCTGAAAACTCGATATCCGAAATTATAGGTGCCTCGGTTGGATAATGAAGCAAGGACCTTTAAAATACCGCAAATGGGGTGGTACCCTTAAATGGGGGCTATTCCAAAACATGGACCCATATATTTTTGCATTCATTGTTACCCAAGAGTGCAATAAATTGAAATTTATCACAATTAATCCACAACCTACCTTTAACTTACTGATCCTCATTACCCACACATACTGGTCCACATTACCCGCCAAGTTATTTTTATTTGCAGTTTAGAGTTTTTTGAAATATAATGCAATA